AACTTTCCTATCTCTGCTCTCATTGTGGAACTCATCTGTCTGAGTTTTGGAGACCTAGTTTCTCTTTACCTATGTCCCCTTTTACTCTTTTCCTGCTCTTGCGGTAGGGTTGCCAAAGGCGTTGTATGGTGGCCAACTCATGATAGAGAATGTCATGCCTGTTTTGAGGCCCTTTCCATAGTTTTCTGAAGGACTATAGATTTGGTAGCTAACTAGTACATTGAGAAGTTGGAAATCTTTTCCTAGTTCCAAGCAGTGTGGCATAAATTTACGGTTTAGGCATTCTTCCTTGCGTTGTCTGTTACTTTCTTTGAGAAGAGAGGCATAAAACTCTACAAAAAAGGACCATGAAAAACAAGCCGAAGAAAAGGCCACTCAACTAGCCATTGTTAGCCAGCCCTTACCCTCCGCCCCTTTCCGAGGCTTCACAAGCGAGAGGCACCCCCGGCCTTCAGAACGAGTCCCTAGCTGTGGATTGGTAGAAGAAATAGGCAATGCAATGAACAACAAGCTGCAGGTTAAGTGAAATCATCTACCCTCATTCATGACTTGTGCTCTTCACAATTGTTCCCTTGTTTTCTCAATGCCTGTCATGTTTTTCTGCCGGCAATGGCGGGCGATGACGAAGGCGGAATAAAATTGACCTATCGCACAATACCACACATGACCAGCTTACCGCCTCACATTGATTGAAATCCCGCTAAGAGATACAGACAATACCGTAATGAGTGAAATGTGAGTACATTCCGGATAATCAAATGTCCGATACACACACCCACTAAACCAGAATAGGTTAGCCCGGAGAGGAAAGCCTCCACAGGAGCCCGCGATCGGTCGCGCGCAATTCCATCACCCCAGTCTGTGTCTCCTCCTTGTCTACCCAACCTCTACTTCTCTACCGCTTCTTTCTTGCTGCGTGGAGTCGGGTTCTGTCTTCTTATCTGCAAGATTCCAGGTCATGCTGTGACCCTAGTGCAACCTGAGCGTTGCCAGTCGATTCCCATCCACGAGACTACGAGCTCCAGCTCTTCGATTACCAGTCCCTGACTTTTTCTCCCCCTCCTCGACCCTTCTTATCCGTCAAATTTACCTTCCTTCTTCTCTCCTGCTGGGGTTCGTGCAGACAT